CAAAAAATGGTCTTGTGGAAGAATACTGTACCTCCTTGATACATCTGTTATATAATATAGGTTACTGGGTATTGTTAAAGTGTAGTAATAAAAAAACACTTGAAATTTTGTTAAAAATTGAAAATACTTCCACATGTAATGAAGAGATTTTATTTCATTGGCCACAATATGTGCAAAGAATTGACTTAACCTAAACTACAGTACTTAATACCTCGTTCCATGTTCGGATTTGTGCCCCATATATTTATTTAATTAATGTTTGATTTTGCATATTTCATGATTAGGTAGCACATACTGATTATGAGTTTCCTGTGATAATGAAACTGTTTTGTTGCTTATTTTCGGTGGCGTGAATGTTGTGTCCTTCTGAAATTAGCCAGAAACATTTAAAAATGTTCTTACTATGTTAATGTTAGTTAAAAATGCAAGGTGTCAGCAAAAAGTATCGATAGTGATTAATTATCACTATCTTTATATTACTGAAAATACTGTTTGTAATTGTTTCCTACAGGTATATTTTTTATGATTTTTTTTTTGTTTCTATCTTCTAAAAATCATATTTTTTTGCACAGTATGAGTTTTAAACATTATTCTACAATTAGGAAAGAAAGAAGATTCCCTTTTCCAATGCGACCCTTCTTGGTTTGTGAACTACAGTACACTAACTTTCACCTCACTAACCATCAGATTGAAAAGTCGAATATACATCCTTTGTGAAAATGGCCAAGCCTTAGTACGTGTAGTGTACCCAAATATTGATAGCCTTTATTGAAGAATCAGCTGGAATCATAAAAAGATGTAAAATGTTTGAAAAGCAAGTTACTGTATGAGCACTTTGAGACTGTTTTGGTATAAAGCAACTATATGAATCCAACTACATTTACTACATTTCACTACAATCTTGCATGATTTTTGGTGAATTATGGATTAGGTATCATTGTAACATATAATTTGGAAATTGTACTGATTATGAGATTTAGAAGAATAAGACAGGAGTATTAGAGTGTATACCAACTTTTTTTTTATAAACATTTTGCTTTTGTAAACATGCCTCGTTAATTTGGCTGGGTAGGGGGAGGGGTGTGGCGATGGTGCACTATAGAGTAGTTGTATTGAAGTCCGTTAAAAGTATTGAATAATGTGAAAATAAATTCATATTTTGTCTTTATTTTTCGCATTCCTATTTTCAACAATCTAACTGCTAAATTACATTAACATGTTCCACCTCTCTAAAATTCTTTCATTTTCGCTGTGTTGAAACAACTTGTGGGATTGTTGCTTGTTAGGATCACCCACCCATTGAAAAACAATCTAAGTGCTAAATTACATATAATATGTTCCACCTCTTTAAAATCTGTAGATTCTTTCATTTTGGCCCTGTTGTAACAACTTGTTGAATTGTTGCTTGTTTTTTAACTACCCTAGGTTAGGATCACCCACCCATTTTAAATCCCAAGCTTATTCAATTTTTGTCATTCAATTTAATCTGATCAATGTTTGACCGAAAACAGGAACCATTTACTTTCTTGTTAAATTGTCTTTTGGGATGTTTGTTACGCATGTCATAAGACTTGATGAATAATGCAGGCGTTTGTGAGGGTATTTATCAATTTGACTTAAGTCAGAAATATGTTTAGCGAAATTCCAACATGTGAATGTATCCGCCTTTGGGTATAACACACTAATTGTTAACACTGGTTTAGGACAGTGTTTTAAATCAAATAATTATGTTATGTTGAGATTTCTTGCTATGCATTAAACTGTCCAATGATGTGGGCATCCTTTTGGGATTACATACTTGATCCTGTACAATAGCAGCTTCGAAGCAATTTATTAGACAAGAAATTGAGATCTGTTTAAGGCATGTATAATATCTTTTTGTGGAATTAACATATTTATTCAAATAAACACAATGCTACAGTTTATTGTTCAGAGGATTTTTGAGGGCCATCAATTAGGACCTTTATTTTTTATATACCTGTCTGTAAATGTAAAGCACAAACAAAACTAATTGTCAAAAGGTATAGATGACCGTAGTAAAACTTTTTGATCTATTGTTGTTTGTTGTTTCTATTACAGTAGTCTTTTTTACACAATCATTTGAGAGGGGGAATTGTTTCCAAATGAAGTTCTGTAGAGATTATTTTTCAAAGAATGTGTTTTTAAAGCTTCTCGACATTTAAATAGGTGTGACAAGATGATTATTAATAATGGTTACATCTTCCCTTTAGAAACTTTAGAAAAATTTAAGTTTGGTAAAAAAAATCATACAATAACTTTTTAGTTATATAAAGTCAGCTTGTGTTGCAAAAGATTTCCAGATGCAATGAATTTCATATGCATATAATAATAAGCATGTAGGTTTTACAGTAATCTATTATCAAATATATTTCTGCCATTTTTTATATTTACATTTTTAATACTAGTATTTACATTGTATATTTACATACATTTTGGAATACAAAGATGGACAGTATAAGTACTGTACAGTTTACAGTATGCTCTTGTACCATTTTTTAACTATAAACATTATTTACAATTCAGTTTGAATATAAACAATTTAGTATGGATTTGAACATATGAAACAATCACTTGTTTATTCATTGTGTACATGCCAAAAATATGTTAGTTGAAAAGAACTGCTAATATATGAGTAGTTTATTATTATTTTTATTAGAAAGAAATAATCCATTGAATGTTGAAGTTGTGAATTAGTTGTAAAGTGGAATTAAACATGTAGGGAGCAACATCAAAACTTGGAACAGATTTAAGGTGGCAATTAGTTCAATTAAGATTGATAGTTCAATTTAAAAATGTAAAATTAAATTTTTTTAAACACAATTTTTTGCGATAAGTGACTTGGCAAAGAAATTAACTTGCATCCTCTCACCTAAATGTAAAGGCGTCGGCATGTTAATGCCAGATATATTTGGACAATTTTGAGAAACTTGTCTAACCAAGTTTATTGCTGAGTGTAACCTTTTGTTTTTTAAGTTAAAATTATTATTTTAAACTATGGAAAGTTTTAATAGACAAAAAAAATTAAGCGCTTTAAAAAAAAAACCTTACAATTATAGCATGAACAGTAATACATAACTCTTTCATTTGAAGTTCAAGAGAAAGTTTACCTTTTAGAGTTATTGTTTATTGCTTTGAGAGTTTTTGGTATCCTGGTAACACCTTCTTCAGCCTTGAAGTGCCGGTAAACTTGCTGTTCAAAGCAATAAATATATAAATTGAAGAGATAAGAAATATATGTTAGGAAATGATATGAAATTAAAGAAAACAAATACCAAATTGACAACTTCAGGTACCAGAATTGAAAAATGACAATGTAATACTGCACTACTGACAACATCCAGGTACCAGAATTAAAAATAGAAAGTACCATGCAGGTACAAGAATTGAAAAAGACAATGCACTGTTGACAACATTCAGGCACCAGATTGAAAGACATCCAGGTTAGAATTGAGTAAAAGACAATGTACCACTGACAACTCCCAGGTACCAGAACTGAAAAAAGACAATGTACCACTGACAACATCCAGGTACCAGAATCTAAAAAGACAATGTACCACTGACAATTTCCATGTACTAGAACTGTGAAAAAGACAATGTACCGCTGACAACATCCAGGTACCAGAACTGAAAAAAGACAATGTACCACTGACAACATCCAGGTACTAGAACTGAAAAAACAATGTCCCGATGACAACATCCTATCCAGGTACCAAAACTGAAAAAAGCCAATGTACCACTGACAACATCCAGGTACCAGAACTAAAAAAAGACTATGTCCCGATGACAACATCCAGGTACAGTACTAGAATTCAAAAAGACTATATACCAACGACAACATCAGATACCAGAATTCAAAGAGACAATGTATCAATGAGAACATCCAGATGCTGAATTTTTTAAAAAGACAATGTACAGTATGAATGACGATATCCAGGTACCAGAATTCAAAAAGACAATGTCCCAATAACATAATTCTTGATCCAAAATTTCAAAGGACAGTGAATACCAGATATAAAAAATTATTGTTACTATTGACAACATCCAAGTGTCAATTTTTAAAAATGACCATAGACCATTGCTACTATGGATAACATATAGGTATGTACTATTATTGAAAAAAGGAATACCATACAATATCAAGTATCAACATTTAGAAGGAAAATATTGAGTATATTAAGATATTGTGCCATTGGAAAAATCCAAAGTATCAGAGTTTAAAAAGAAAATGTACTGTTTGAAAAATCTAAGTATTGAAATTAATTAAGACAATGTGCCATTGACAACATCCAAGTCATCAGAATTCAAGAAGACAATGATAGGCACCACCCATGAAATTTGACATATATCTATCTCATCAGGTTGTTATTATTTCCGAATAGAATCAGAAAAACAAGGAACCTTGCTGTGCCATTAGACCTATTAATATTTCACACATTACCCCCTCGAAATTGAAAGTTCATTAGCTTCAAGTTATCTGACGAACAAGTCTGTCGCAGGGTTTGCAACGGTAGATTGAAAACCTACTTCCAGATTTAATTAGTGCAATTAAATTCTTGCTTGTCTCTGTGGACATCAGTTTCAGGAACAGAAGCAGAGTGACTTTTTTTTTAATTAAGTGTCAACAAATTCTGATAATGTCTAATAAATTTTAATTGTCATATATATTTTTCTTTTCTTTATTAGTTTTGATGAATTTGATGATGTTCATAAATACAAAACACTTCAAGGATATTATTTACCAAATATTTTTATTCAATTGCTTCATTAGTGCAGGATCCAGCATGTTTGATGTTTTGACAATTCTGTAAATGTGTTTGTTGCTGGTGCAGCACACCATGTTGGCGACAGTGGCTTATTGTGACCGCTTTGTCTACTCCTTGGCACTCCAACTGCTTTTTTTTTTTTGCACTGCTTTTTTTTTTGCACCTTATTACATCAAAATAAATATAATAAAATAAAATATTATTTATGTCTTGCAGATTTGTACAGAAGGCAGGTTAACATTAGAGTTTACTTTTGATGATTTAATGCGCATACGGTCGTGGCATTTCCAAATAAGGAATCATTCTGAGATGATCTCTCGTAATGTCATATCTGTACAGGTAAATCAAAGTAACATTTAATAATTGTCATTACATTTAAATGAATCATTCTAACATATTTAAAATACCTTTAAAAGTTCAATTTAAAAAAAATAAATAAGTTATGAAATAATTTGAAATTGAAAATATATTATTACACTTCTGTATTTCCCCAAACTGAGCTACTGTGCCAACCCTGAAATGTATTCCCTGGGATTTTATTATTAGCAAATGTTTTCCTCAAGGTTATGTAATAAAAAATACTATTACAATAAATAATCAATTTTGATATCATCATTGTACTGCCATTATTTTTCAATCCCAAACCGTGCATTAGTGTTTCATTATGGATAGTTACAACTATCCATGTATAAGCCAAGCACTATTTTTCCATTAGTGCATTTTGCTCCATGCATTAAATCTGATAATTAATTTTTTTGTTGCATTTGATCTTTTAGGATCCAGCAATGTTGGAGCAACTGTCGAAAAATGTAACAAGACAAGGGCTTACTCATTTCACCCTTAACTATCTCAGAGTAAGAAGTTCTATAGTACTATAATACTGGTCAATTTTACTTGAGTGATAAATAAAGACAAATTTTATCAATTTGGTTTTCGGCATTTACCAGTTGTAAATATACCGGTTAAACAATATCGGTGGTGTAGTAAAGTTTTCTAATTATTAGAAGGAAAATAGTAAAATTTGTTAATTTATTGGAGTGATGATAATAATTAATAAAGAAGATGATGCTAATGTGTGGATGGCAGTGGTGATGGCATTGGAGTGGAGTTGATTAGCTTGGTGGTAAAAATGCTTTCCTTATGATCCCTTGGTGGCCCTGGGTTCAATTCCTTTCATTACAACAAGACTTCTTGGCATGACCAAAACAACTCCATTCTCCAAGACTCATTTAATTGAGATTTAGTCTATTGTAAGGTATCTTGTGTTTATGTTTGTCTTGTTTGCCACTGATGAAAGTGATTGATTTCGCTGTTTAGTATATCTTAGGCCCGGTTAACTGCAATATTTTCTCTTTTTCTAGCTGTGTGTAATTCTTGAACCCATGCAAGAGTTGATGTCACGTCACAAGGCATACAACCTCAGCCCGAGAGATTGCCTCAAAGCAACGTTGTTCCAGAAATGGCAAAGAATGGTAGCGCCACCAGGTAAGCACGCATTTGCCACTGAAACGATCCATAACCAGATAAGCAAACAGGTCACATGGTTAAACTTAGCCAGTCAGAAAATAACTAATTCAAGTAACTAATTAAAAATTTAACCAATCAGATGATAGAGTAGAAAACAAATAGCTGGTATTTATCCAAACAAGTGATAGGTTAGAAAAAATGTATCAAATTGATTTAGGATATAACATGAGGAAATTTGGCCCAAGGATATTCAGTTAACTACTGATGACAACTAATTAAACAACTTGATATAAAGCTAAATGTAATAAACATGATCAAATAATTTCATTTAATTTTGTAGTAAACATGTTTCTAAATCAGTTGAAGCATGTTTGATGTAAATGAAACTAGAATTTTAATTAATTTGATGTATAATTAATACATCTGCTGGTGGAACAGCTTGATTAGTGTTAAACACTTTCACTTTCTCAACTCCTTCGGAAAAAATACACCCTATAAATAATTCATTTTTAATAAGTTTCTTTATTAGACAGTTATACAACTTTAGGCATAAGGGCAAAGTATATACAGTACAAAACAGTAAAAACTAAATCACTTTTCTATGTGGCAACCCCTTCACAAGACACATACACACAATGTGCTCTACATCGATGAGGCTTAGGGAGTGGGGTTGTTTTGTTAGTTATAAAAAAATCCTGTTACAATGACAGGAATTGAACCCAGGTCCTTGGATTGGAAGACAAGCATCTTAACCACCCTCCTCTTCAATTCACAATATAAGAAGAAATCTTTGGATAAATGATCTTATAAACAACAAAGTAGGCTTGAAAACAATGTGATCTTAATAGATTCACTTAAAAACTGATTCCAAAATGTTTAGGTTGAAACATTTATCAACGTTATATACTTTTGAATGTTCTTGGTCTTGAACTTTGTTTCCCTGTTCGATGGAGACATCATCTTCAAAATTCTCACGAACAAATACATTATAGTGATGTTACAGTTTTCCAACCTAAAAGAGAAACTGGAAAAATCACACATCCATTACACTGCTTACTCTACCCATGTACAGCATATTCGTAATTGGAGAATAATTGTGTTCATTTCCCTCTACATGTAATTCTTTTCCCACCTCCTCCCCTTCCACTCCTATATAATTATTTTCAAGAAACTTAACAACGTTAATGCCCTTGTCAACTGTTGTTATTTACTGTACATGTTCAAAGATTATAACATTTTCCACCGTAGAAAAAAATGCATCGCAGGGAGGGTATGCTTTTACTGTGTGGTGTAAAAGGTGTAATTTTAGTTATTATTATTATTGTATTACTATATTTATTAGAATATCATTAACATTACTGTAAGATAACTGCTTCTTCAGCCTATATGCATTATATATCTTGCTTTACACACAGAACCACATGCATTTGGCTCCCTAGACCTTTCCATAGCTAATGTCTGCAAGTTCTAGAATTTCACCTAACTTTAGTTAACTAATAGAAATTGTACTTTTTTTACTGAGGTATGCTTTATGGTTGGTATTTAAGGCCCCAACACCTATATTTAGAATACTTAACAATACATGTTCATTTTCTTGCTCAATATTTTTGATCGAATTCTTGAATTTTGTTCTTGGAATGCTTAGATTTTTTAATGTCCATTGATTATATAATGATTAATAGTGTATAATAAGAAAATGTATAGAGGTATATTGGTATATTAATCTAATTTTCACTCTTAGTGTTTGCAATTTGATCACTCCGCACCCATGGCACATGTGACACTTCCCTTGTACATCTCGTCCTATTTTTCATTAGCCCATGCCTCTAAATTTTATCAAGCCCTATAATTAGCCTATGTCCTCTAACTAGCCCAGTAGTCATGCTATGGCTTTTTAAATATCTACAGGCTTATTAATGTTGCTATTGGTCAGATATTGAAACCCACATTAAAAAAGTAATGAAAATATTAAATTTAAAATTAATACGCGTGAAATAAATTGTAATACAATACGACACAGTTCGAAACAAGTCAGTTTTTGTCAATTTACAGACATTTTAGTACAGAAATGTTTCAAATTGATTGCAAGCCAAAAGGGTTTATGAAAAATAATATAAAACCATCTTATTTCTGCATTTGTAGGAGAAAATTTTGTTTGTTCTTCTCTAAATGAAAGCTACTTATATAAAAATGCAAAGTATGAAATTTGAATATTAACTTTTATTTTAAAGTTCATAAGGTTAACATGGGCAGTATATCTTTGATTAGCCCAGACCTCATAATTAGACCATGCTTTTAATCTCTGTACAGAAATTAAGAATTGATTGATAGTATAATTAAAAGGTCATCTTCTTTGACAACGTGATAGGTTTTAATTTCCCCCATTACCCTGTGTAATCAGCACCCAACTTAGAAATATCTGGTACAACAGTAGATTAGCTTATCCCTCACAGTATACACCTTCCCTCTGTCATTCACAACAAAAACATCATATCACTTAGTATACTGCCCTCAATTGTTCTTACCCATAATTCCTTTATCAGTGCATCCTGCTTCATTGCCATCTTATCATCTCTCGGAAGCAATCCCCAAGCACAACCTAAAATAACTCATTCAGGAATATAAAGCATGCAGATCCTATTTTGATAAGGCCATATTATATAACGAAATAAACAACCATAGATGGTTAAACCATGGAGGAAATTCTTAATATATTTCCTCCATGGTTAAACCAACTCCCTGGTTAAACAATAGACAAAAGTTAATACAGTACTGTACCCTGCATTTTTTTTAATTTGATGCTGTGAACTTTAGACAAACCACAAGAAATTGTTTCTAGTCATATTAGTTGTGTCCTTCTGCACGATACCACCATATATACATCTGTCTCTCTCCAGCCTGGGGTATAATGTGACCCTGGTTGTATGTGAATATAAACATAGATTGTTGCACAGGGTGTATACAGTAGATGTCTATTGTATACACTATGTGTATACAATAGACATCTATTGTATACACCATGTGTATACAATAGACATCTACTATATACACATGTAGATGTCTATTTAACTGATGACTATAGTAATAATAATTATATGTGTCTCAGAGTTAGTCACTATATAGGTTATACAGTGGGTAGCACTGCAATTATAAATTTTGTAATTGTTATCCTTAACCTTAATCCACTGATAGATTTTATCAACTCCTCATCCTTTTTCCATAATAGGGAGTTTTCAATTTTACTCAACAACCTAGCCCTAGAATGGATTCCTCCTCCGTGCCAATTCTTAGTTATGTTTACAACATTATATTCGGGCTAAATTGCGTCTAGAATCAAGACGATAACGAGAAGTCAACTTTCTCACATGTGCAGATGACTTCTTAGTGACGTCATTATCACTTAGGTCTTACGGTCATCATGCAATCGAAAGCTCCCTAAACGGTGCCAACCCCCACACTTTAGACCGACCTATGCCCATGTCATGTACGCCTGAGAATATGACATTGGTAGCTTGCACTTTACCTTCCATTTTCAGATATCAAAGCACCTGCCAAAGAGAACGAACGCATCAAGAAAGGTAAAATAATTTTCCATCCATCGTTTTTCCTTTCCGTTTCACAAGCTTCTTGCACTAAAGCTAACCTGACCAAATCACTGCCAGCAGCACACTCTGGGTGCTTCACACTACTACCAAAGATCTTATAATAACAAGATAGCGTTCTGTGCCATTTCTGCATGCAAATTCTGTAATAATAGTGCTTTCTCTCACAAAAGTGATTAATTTTCAACTTGGAAATAAAAAATCGTTAACTAATGATAACGCATCTCGCAATTTCTGCGTGCAAATTCTGTAACAACCATGGTTAACCACTAGGACGCCCTCTCTCAGAAATGGTTACCTTTTATGCTTCTTTTTACTGAAAATCAATGCTTGTATTTGTTACGCGTACATTGCAGGGAGCGCTATCTTGGTATTATAAGTTATTTGACTACTAACAGAACATTCTCATGATTTGTAAATAAACTTTATGAAGTGGCCTTTGAGAGAGTAAAAAAAATCAGAAAGAAACATTTCCTAACCATTGCATATATTTTTTTAACTTTTTTGTTGTACAGTATGATAATATGATTTTGTTTTCTAATTCTTTGCTATTAGGTTTACTTTATACGGTACTCATTATACTGTCGGTCAAACATCTTTAGATCATAATCATACATACAGTACGGAATCTGCCAGTCACACCTGCTCATGTTAGTCATACTGTACAGATATTGCCACTTACATGCATGACAGTTAGCTCTGTCACTCATGTGCTAAATAATGCATACACTACAGACATTGCCAGTCACACATGTTGATAGTGACACGTAAATACAGGCATTGCCAGTCACGCATTCTCATAGTGACACGTACAGTGCCGACTTTACCTGTCACAAATGCTCATAGTGACGAGTACAGTACAGACACTGCCAGTCCCACATTCTCATAGTGACGAGTACAGAACAGACACTTCTGGTCAGACATTCTCATAGTGATGCATACAGTACCAACTTTGCCAGTCAAATGCTCATAGTGATGTGCACAGTACAGACACTGCCAGTCACACATGCTCGTAGTGACGCATACAATACCAACTTTTTCAGTCACAAATGCTCATAGTGATGTGTACAGTACAGACATTGCTAGTCACACATGTTCATAGTGGCACATGCACTACAGACACTGCTAGTCACACATGCTCATAGTGATGTGTACAATACAGACATTGCCAGTCACACATGCTCATAGTGGCACATGCAATACAGACACTGCCAGTTACACATGCTCATAGTGATGTGTACAGTACAGACATTGCCAGTCACACATGCTCATAGTGGCACATGCAATACAGACACTGCCAGTTACACATGCTCATAGTGATGTGTACAGTACAGACATTGCCAGTCAAACATGCTCATAGTGGCACATGCAATACAGACACTGCCAATTACACATGCTCATAGTGATGTGTACAGTACAGACATTGCCAGTCACACATGCTCATAGTGAAATGTAACTGTACAGACACTGCCAGTTACACATGCTCATAGTGATGTGTACAGTACAGGCATTGCCAGTCACACATGCTCATAGTGGCACATGCAATACAGACACTGCCAGTTACACATGCTCATAGTGAAATGTAACTGTACAGACATTGCCAGTCACACATGCTCATAGTGATGTGTACAGTACAGACACTGTCAGTCACACATGCTCATAGTGATGTGTACAGTACAGACACTGCCTGAGGCTGTCACACATGCTCATAGTGATGTGTACAATAAAGACTTTGCTGCTCACAGGGACATGTACTGTACAGACAATGCCGGTCACGCGTGTGCTCATAATCATGAATACAGTGTGTGCGTCAAGATATAAATTTGGTTGTTCAGTACATTATTGTATGGTGAGAAAGTGGGAATGAGAAGAAAATCCTGTCACTTTTGTAGGATTTGAACCCATGATCTTTGGTGAAAGAAGTAACCACCATGCCACATCTTCGTAATTGTTTTTTTTTTTAGTCAAACCACTGCTAAAATATCCTGAAATTCTCAATGTTATTTTTGCTTTCCTTAATACTTCATTTAATGGCTGTGCCTTTGAGCATGCTACAGTAGTAACATTATGTAATCTCATTAATTTTATTGTTTTCCTCCTCTCAAAAGTAGATGTCATGAACATAACATGATAATTTAGCATCGCTTAAAGTTCACAAGGTTATTCATAATCACAAGGAAATGCTATGTTTTATGCCTGCTTGCATGGTGCAATAAAAATATAATAATTTTGTTATAATTAAAGTCTGGTTTTCACCATATAGATCTGATTGTATTTTTTAAAAATTAAAATATTTTATTAGAGTAGTAGTATTATTGAAAGTAATTATTTTTCATAAATGTTATAATTTTCAAAACTATAATTTAAAATTATATTAAATTATTACTAACAACAATATTGTTGATTATCAAAATTCATATTGAAATATTTTGTTATGATTGTTATTATTTGTATTTTTGTATGAAACATAAACAATCTAACTATGCCTTGAATGTTTTTTTTTTTAAAGCAGGTATCATTACCATAGTTAATTTGGTTGGCTTATTGATTGGTGTTACCGTATACATTCTATCCAGTCTGTTTTATTTCCTTTTCTTTTAAAGGCAGAATAAATTGATGAAATTTAAGCAGTAGTTTTTAAATGTTTTTCAGAAACCACAAGAGGAACAGGAAAGAAACGAAGGAGAAAGACATCGACAACAACCATGACCACCAACTCCACTGGAATTACAGGTTCTGGGACAGGGTCTAGCAAGAAAAAGTCCCCCGCTGGATATAACATGCCCCCAACTGAACCAATTCCAACGGTAAGTACCATTTGTTGTTTAGAATCATGACTGACAACGGTTTATGTACATCTAATATTTCTGCTTACCCACTTCATAAGATTCCTAACCGATTTTACTAGATGACCTCTGACCTCAATGTGACAAGCTGATTGGTGACAGTGGCGTATCTAAAAGACCTTAAACACTGTTACACCCTCTCCCCATCAGCTCCCCTTTCCCCATCAAGGCCCCCTCCTCCACTTTAAAGACTTCTAGATATGTAACTGACTGGTGACCTGTTTTCAAGGTATCATCATTTGATCACCAAGTCACCCATCATCTTTTCAGGTTAATGTATTTTATTGAAGATATAGTAATGCAACAATGAGGAGCTTTCAATTGAGAACGTAGAATGGGAATGTAGAATGGATTCACTCATCTGTGACTGTTGTTGTGCCGATCTACTTTAAAATCAATTTTGATTTTTTACGACGTGTACATGGATGTGTCACGAGAATGCAAAAGTCTGATGCACCAATGTTTAATACAGTACAGTCCTAATTCTGGCCTGAACATAGTTTCGGTTAACAACAGTTTCAGGAAGGAACGTATTAATGCACAACATTCAGACGTTCGCCGTTAAACTAACATGACTTTACGTTCTACATTCTAAGTTGTTGCAAATCAGAAGCGCCCTAATAAAGAATTTTATTATACAGTTTTTGGAAAGCACTATAATAACTCCAGTTTGATTTGTTCAACCATTAATAATCCTGTTTGTGTCTTCTAGGATGTTATGGTGGTGGGGGAACCTTCGTTAATGGGGGGAGATTTTGGAGATGAGGATGAACGGTTGATCTCGCGTCTTGAGAACACACAGTTTGATGTCAGCAATGGAATGGACACGGAGGAAGATTTTGAAAATGGAGGCAACACCAATTCCTCTAATCAGAGCCCATGGAATCAAGGTGAAAGGTCAACACCAGCACCACCGTCCAATCAAACGCAGGAGGAAAAAGTCCCTACCAATGCCACCTGAGCCAATCATATTCCACCCATTTGGTAATTATTTTCGTGTTTGCCAATTGTAGCAATCTTCCATGGCAACCATCTGCATAAATAAAAAATAACACTTGTAAATTGTTTTCTGTATCTTTTGCTGCAACATAGAAGTGAATATTTTCGAAGAGAAATATACTTCTTTGGCTTTGTAATTGAAGATACGTGGTTTATACACGTAAACGTTGCTGCTGACTCAAGTGTTTTCTTGTTAAATTATGGCATGGGTATGTGGACTTGTCTGGGTTGTTGAGAGTGGCAATAGTGTAGTCTTTAAGCAGAAGGCATTCACAACCACTCTTAAAAGACTTCTCTCCAGACTATTAAATTTTATTTGACAAAAATATGGTCATGATCACATCACATCATGACCATATATAGGCACATCATGTCTATATATGGGCATACAACAGTTTTTTGTCAAAGAAAATTTGAGATTGGACAGAGCCTTATACATTGCAGAATGTATGTCAGATTGGTTGTATATCTATTTACTAGAAGAATTCTACTGCGAACAGAACCAGGTTTTAAATTTGGCTTAAAATTTTATAGCAAATGAAGTGTCTGATGGAATGTCATATTTATGTACAATTCTATAAAAAAATATAATAAATAGTTTAAAGGCATAAAATACAGGCATGATCTATTAAAAACAGATTTTTGTTTTCTTATGGAATTATATTGTTTTATGAACTTAAATTCATTGAAAATTTTTCGAGCTGTAGAATGTTGGCTGTTTTTTGCAAGTAGATATTTATTTGATTTTCATATTTGGAAATAATTATTTTAAAAATGTAATAAATCTATCAATCAAAATCCTGAAGGATGAAACCAAGATTATTAAACAGATGAAAATAATGTAATCATCGTTTTAGGCTCGAAAATATATATTAATATTACAAAATACAAAGTATATTTTTATCACCTTTTATTTTGGTTAATTTTTCTTTGTTTTCCAAAACTTTAATGTTCATTGTACAGATATAACATTTCAAAATGTCAAAATGAATTGTGGGTAAAATAGTATTACCCATAATGCACATGGTGTGGCCAGATCTGACAAAAAGGTTACTGATGCTTATAATTGAATTAGGCAGTTTATTCTGTCACTGAATAAGAAATGAGTAAGGTTTGTGTTGACTTATTGTTTAGCTAATTATACTGAATTTATCGTTGTGTGTTTTGTACATAAAATATGCATGGCTGTACAGGTATATGCATTCCCCATTAATTAGTACTTTAGTAAAATTCAAATAAAGAATGCTGTGGGTATTATATTTATTATTGGTTTTTTAAATAATTGTTGTTAAAATCATTATTATTATTATTATTATTATTGTTTTTATTATTATTTTTGCATTATTATTATCAATACATTATTATGATTATTATTATTGTTTTTTAATTGTTGTTAAAATTATAATTATAATTAATATTAGTATTATTGTTGTTACTGTTGTTATTATTATTATTATTGTTATTTATTGTTAATTATACTTTTTTACTAATTGATGTTAAAATCATGAATATGATAATATTTTGATTGATGTAATAATGTATATATTTTTGTCAATTTTGTAAACAAAAGTAACCACAGTGATCATTTTTGCATTTGTATGCAACGGTACAGTATAACCAATGATAACAGTCTTCAATGTGATTGATTGATTAATAGATTAATGCTGTTAATATTAGTTGCCACCAATATTATCTTCACCAACTTCGTCAGTGTCATACCATAGGGGTTAATGTCTTTCTGGTCAGTTACTGGAAGTTGGTGTATGATTGAGAAAAATTTGAAGGTCGACTGTTACATCTGGTCACCATTCTGCCTCTAATAAAATCTTCATAATCATTGTCATCATGTCATTATCATCGTCATCATCATCTTTATTGTCATTATCATCATCATCATCAATATCATCATCATCATATTTTCACCACCACCATCATCACCATCATCATCGTCATAATCTTCCTCATCATCTTCTTTGTCATCATTATCATCTTCATTATCTTCTTTATCATCACAATGATTATTATCTTAATTACCATCATCATCAATATAATTTATTTTATCTCAATTATTTTATGTCACGTCTGTAACTATTAATATTAAGATAGAATTCACAGATTGATCATGCACGCTACACATTTCCACCACTGGGCATTATATAAATTTTTAAGTACAAAGCACAAAACATGTACAATTTAGTAAATAAAATTGGGTGGCCTAGAGTTATAGAAGAACTAAAATGATTGGACCAATATAGTATAGTATGGTTCGTTGTGACAAATCATGGTTGGTTAAATATCTCAAAGATTTATTAATAAAGCTATCATGTCCTTAATATAGGATGATCAGTTTTTATTTTGTGAACAGGGATTAAATTATCGATAGGCCTATCTAAAATGGCCGCCTGTAACACTGAACAAATATTGTCGATCAAGTTCATTTTCTTATGGAATGTATTGTATGTTTATTTGTTTGAATTTTCTATTGTTATGTGTTGTGTAGTTAACAGAGGTAGCGTTATTTAGTATTTTCTGTTGCTTCTTGTATACGCGTACAAATTGGAACATTAAACAATTTCTACGTTAGTGAAATTATATAATATTTTGTAGACTCTTACTGTTTATGTTGAGTTAATATTTACTTGAACAATAAAACACAGTTTTAAGTGGTCCATTGATAATATTAATATAATATAATAGCATGCACACTCGAGAAACATATCGTTCTTTATTCGAACATCATCAGGAACTGCCTGATGTATGAATTGCTGATGAACGAAATATTGACAATAGGAAGTTTTCGCAAGCTTTACGAGAACGATAACGAATACGGTTACGTCATCAAATTTCTAGAGAACCCTTATCCTTTAGTAGCATATTTGTCACAACTTAAGCGATTTGTGTCTTTTGCATGAATGAGGGATCATGTTCAGCTCATACAGCATATTTTCAAGAATATTTTAGGCACGAATGACATAATGATAATGACGTATTCGTTATCGTTTTCGAAAGGTTGCAAAATCTTCCTACTAAAAAATACTGTGACTTCTTTTAGTCTTTTTGGCGTGTTTGCCAAATGTTTGATGTCGGATTTGCTTGACAGCATGGGGATGGGGTGTGGTGTTGTTTTGTTCTAGATAATATGTCCCAATCTACTAATTTGAGCGAGGACAAAATGTTTGTTACGATATTCCGCCTAGATAGAAGCCTGCAAAAATCTGGAAGTAATAATATCGTAGCACCATCATTTCAGGCGTCATTTCATGAAGAGCAATTTTGAATTGAATATTATGCTAATCAAGCCACAATTAGTATTAAGTAATCCTATTCCCAAAATAAAAAAAAAGATCGATTCTCTCACATTTTCTACATAGCAGTAACTATACATAACAAATGTTATTTGTTCTTATTGTGATCCCTTTGAAGTGGACAACTGGTGAAAATAGTCGTGAATAAATTACATAAGCCTAACTACTTGTGACAACAGAACAAAGTCAGAACAGCAGGCTCGGGAAGTATAAATTGGCACAATTTTAGATAATTAAATTAAATTTAATTAAACTTAATTGAATATGAAACATATATAGTACAAAGTAATATGAAAATATCTTATCTAGAGTCTCATCCGGGTGTCAGAGCAAAAATGGCATGTCACGTGTCGCTTAGCTCAACGGTGTCTCGCGTTTTGACATCGGCTTAATCTCGGACTCGTATTCGCCCTTCTATGCAAGTTTTAATGAAACATCTAGTATTCCACACCAAATAATTGCCTGGTGTGTTAACATCTAATATAATAAAAAGTGAATTTTTACGCATTTGCCGGTTCGTGTAACCAGCGACGACATGTATAATTTATAATCGTTAGGCGTTGGAGCAAGTTGAGGTCAGTAAAGATCTTCGATGTCTACTTGGGGTCATTTATGAGAATAATTTTCTGCTAACATTATTGTTGGCTTTTAAGTCTCTCAAAAGATGCGGGTTACAAGACAGAAGACCTTTCTCCATGTCATTTAAACTTATTTATACCTGAGTTCCCCTCTCTTTCTACACCCCTTCCTGCAATATCTTAACCCGCCCCATTACCTCACAGCCTTGGGAACAAAAGGCCGCTGAACTTTCGCGAATATTATGGGTGTAGGAGTCAATGATAGCCGGGGCGAAAAGAATCATGAAAGATCATCATGTTCAACACGTCACAATGCACCGACGTAAAAACCGATCTCAGTGCGCGCATCTTATTATGACGTTCTCTTCCGTAAAATCGAACTTGCTGCTGACTGGTCATCAGTAAGTTGCGTATCGCGTACTTTAGAACCTAACACCATCGCAACAAGTTCCTTCTTCAAACAAACCACCTCAGAAGGATTTTATCTTTCAAATATTCAGATCGATTTACAATATTGCTCTCAGTAAATGCTGAAATAATCATCGTTTTGCACTCACTGCCTGCCATAAAAGTAAGTAAAACTTAACTTGAACCAGTTCTGGTTGCTTCAAGTTATATTGATTAACTGACGGAGACGAATATGAAAAGAAAGCGATCATCAACAGAATCAGCAAGTGAAGGCCAGCAGACGAAAGCCTCTGTGGCGTATCCTGTGACCAATCTGCGTGCCACCACCAGCAAGAGAAAGCCTAAGAAGAAACGTTATTTTGCTAGAAAAACAACCGGTCCAAGACGTAAACTGACTCAGACCGAACTGGATGCGGCCATTGTCGTAACCCATGAGTTTGGACAACAGATACACTTGGTGGAGAAACGTTCCTCCACAAGTGAAAATAATAACTCCATCCCTAAACCTAGGCATGGGCCTACACCAGTTAAAAACGGGGGTGAATTACTGGTGATTGACCAAGAATCCTCCTGCATAACAAACAACAATTCCGTCCCTGAACCTATACCAGTCAAAATCGAGGAGTGTTTGGTAAGGCTAGACGAACAACCTTCCAATACATCAAACAATATCAATCCTGTCCCCGAACCTTTGTCAGACACAAACGAACAACATGAATTACTGGATTACTTAAACACATTAACAGAACGAGAAAGCATTACTTCCTCAGATCCATGGGAAAAGTACAGACCATTTGCAGAGTCCACAAAAGATCACATTTACAACTTTCTTTCAGTTATCCTCATTGACTTACAACGTTATGGTTATTTAATTGATGATAATGTATACTACCATTGCGTTATTATTCTAGAAAATGCTGTTCATAGTTATGCTACAACTTTTAGTTTGATAGAACTTGAAGAAATATCAATTGCTTGCATGTGCCTTGCTCTCAAGTCTTCCGACAGATATCAAGCGCGTCATATCATTCCATATGCTTGTGAATGCATTCAGGGTGGATACTTTGAACCAAAAGCAATTGCCCAAGCAGAGGCTAAAATACTAAAGATTCTAAACTTTAAGCTTAATACAGTAACCTGCGCTGATTTCATACATGTACAATGCGACATAGCAATTTGTAAGACTGATAGTATATGGGATAAAAAGCTAATAGATTTAATAAGACTCAAAGCTATGAGAAACTTGGTCTGCAGCCACAAATCATTTAGATCAGTAATACCCTCAACGATTGCATTTTGGATGTTGCAGACAACTTGTGTGCAAATGGATTTCAACTTTGACTCTGTCTTTCCTGATGTTTGTAAAATCTAAGTCCTAGACCTAACATTTTGGTATTTAAGGAACTTTAGGTTTTAAAAGTAAATAAAAAGTACACCGACATTAATTAAAATCGAAAGATAAATAAGGACGGTAAGAAGGCCCAAAGTTACTTATCAATTATTATTCGTAATATGATTGAGACGCCAATGAAAATATTTGAAAGCTTTCTACAAAATAATTCGATTATTCCTATTTAAATTATCTTCAATAATTCTACAGTACACTTATATTATAGCGCATATTGTTGCCATAATTAATTCAGGTAAAGCGTAATGTCATTGATAACTGTCAAAAAATAAGCTCCCGGGGTGAGTATTGTACCTTGCAGCTAATGATAATCAGTGCATTGGCGTTTTATACTCCGAGACGGGTACGTACGTAAAATGCTTTGACCAGAGACAACCGAGTGCCCAAATACTAATTAACCTACTTTTATTTGTGCATAGCGTAATAGTTTAGATTTTAGATATGAATAACGGGCAATAAAAAGAAATAGAAGAAACTAATATGACGGTAAAAAAAAAATAGACCTCCTTAAAAGTTGACAGTTAAATTGGATATGAATAATTAGAAATAGTATCCCTAGTTATTCAATAAAACAAATAATAATAAGAAAAAATAGAATATTGTTTTTTTCGTACACAGATTCAATGTGTCTAAAACTTAGCC